CATGTTCGCAAGATGAGAAGAGATGATATTAGATATTTGGAGAATCCGAGCAAATGCAAACCACAACTTGAAAAAAGCACAAGCGGAGTTTCAAACACTATGTAGGGTTTTCACTAATGAAGCGAAAATGATGTAATTGAAATGCTACAAAATGTATAAAAACCTAGCATGCGTTAGTTGATAATACATAATTTCAGCCGAGGCTAGCTAGTACCGTACAACCGAGTGGCGCTGCAGGAGCTGAGACACGAAGTGTAGGACGGCGAACTTCTCAAACGTCTGCTCCAAGCGTACAAACGGGTACCACAGTTTTGCGGGTGAGTTATGAAACTATTTTTTCAGAACCAGTACAGTTATGGTTTGCAAATCAAACTATAGAATACGTTTACAGCAGGAATCAAAACAAATTACCACCACACCTCAGTCAGCGTCATCTCAATATTTGCAACTTCTTCGAACATTGTACAAACGTTACCATATAAAGTACTTATTCCCATTGATTTTTATTATGTTCTATATGGTCGTCGGTTCTGTGATATTCTATTTACTCGAATCTTCTACTGATCAAAATTCCAAGGATGAACAATATCAAGTTTATATGTAAGTCAGAGCTTATGTACTGATCTTTAATAGCAATCGATCGCTACCCATAAACAAGATCAGATAGAAGATGCATTTTTAGTCGTGAACGAGAACTACTTCGACGACGAATGGACGAAATACTCAGCGATCGAGCGGCAAGACGACGTGAAGTACGAAGGAAATTTATTGACGACGCAGTCGAATACTTTGAAAATCAAGTGGGATTCTCGGTGAGAATAGAACTATTATTATGTTCAATTCGCATAAGTTTTTGAATTTTAGGTCAGCAATGAATCGCAGTGGAACTTGATGTCAGCTATGTACTACTCTGGCACACTTTTTACGACTATAGGTCAGCAGCTTGTTATAATCTTGTATTTTTAAGAATTTAAAATAGTCAAAGCCTCATTATATGCTATGTCATAGTCTTCGTCGTGAGGTCCGTTACGTGTCAAGACTGGTTCCTTAGCAAACAAGACATTTTTTTGATATTCTGCATCTTTTAATGCCAGCGCTGGGTGCATCCAGTAAACTTAAGAATGATTACCTATAGGTAGCTACCTCCCTTTACTGGTAAGACAAAATAGGTCGAGGTTTCTTTTCTTGTCCGGTTCTCTTCTTCATGAGTATTCCTTCTGTGGGTCAAGTGTACTGCGATAGCATCATCATCCGTAGCATACTGGCACCCACGTTGCACCGACACCGTAGCTGCTACTGTAGCAGCAACAACAATGTGGGTACTACGAGCGAGCTCTCGTGGTACACCACGGTTGTTGTAGCTGCTGCTGTAGCAGCAACAACAACGCGATGTACCACGAGAGCACTTGGTCGTAGCATCCTCACAGCCACGTCGTACCAGCATGGTAGCTGCTACTGCATCAGCAACAACAATGTGGTGTACCACAAGAGCACTCGAATCCTGGCAGCCAGGTCGCACCAGCATGGTAGCAGCTACTGTAGCAGCAACAAC